CGTACCAAAACGCGAGATGTAACACCATCGTAGTGTTATTGAATTTTTGAAGAGAAGAGATGAGAGGAAAGAGGTTCCACTAGTGTAACGACCGGTCGGTCGTTTCATGAGTTACCACTCCATTTGCCCCATTTCTGCTTCTTATTGCCTTGTTCAGTGGTATTATGTGTTATCGGGTTGGTTGGCTCGGGTTCGGAGAGGTTTTGGTAAGGTTTGAGACACTTAGTCTCTTTTGGGTAAGCTTAAGTTGGAAAAGTCAACCGGATGTTGACTTATCTGATAAAGGAATCGGATGTGAGTTCCGATGGTTCGGATAGGTTCGGGAGGTGATTTGGGACTTAGGAGCGTGATCATAATGTGTTTTGGAGGTATGAAGTAGATTTAGGCTTGAATTGGCGAATTGGAATTTTGGCGTTTTCCGGTTGGTAGGTGAGATTTTGATTAGGGGTCGGAATGAAATTCCAAGAGTTTTAATAGGTCCTTTGTGTCATTTGGGATGTGTGTGCAAAATTTCAGGTCATTCGGACGTGGTTTGATAGTCTTTTTGATCGAAAGAGGAATTTGGAATTTTTTTGAAATTCTTCGGCTTGAATCCAATGTAAATTTGATGTTTTGATATTTTTTTGAGCATTCCGAAGGTTGGAACAAGCTTGAATGATGTTGTGGGATAGGTTGGCATGTTTGGTTGAGGTCCCGAGGGCCTCAGGTGAGTTTCGAGTGGTTAAACGGATCATTTCAAGTTGAAAAAAATTGCAGAAAATCTGCTGTTAGTGTTGCAAGCTTTTGGCCTTCGCTGTTCGCGTTTGCAGAAAATCTGTTGTTAGGATGAGAGGTGGGAGGTTTGTCCATCGCGATCGCGATGGAGGTCCCATGTTCGCGAAGGGGTGGGGTCTGTGAGCTTCGCGTTCGTGGTTGTGGGGTCGCAATCACGATGGGTGAGAAGGCTGAGGCTTCATGTTTGCGTCCAGGGTGTCGCGTTCGCGATGAAGGAAAAGTGGTAAACGCCAGGTTGTGCTTAGCGAACGCGAGACGTTGACCGCATTCGCAAAGAAGAGGTCTTAAGTGCTGGGCAGAATGTTTTAAAAGACCAATTCCGCGATTTTGGGTCTAAGTTTCACCATTGTTGGGCGATTTTAGAGCTTTTTGAAGAGGATTGAAGAGGGAATCAGGGAAGAACACTTGGAGGTAAGATTTATGGACTTAATACTCAATCCTAATGTGTTTTCTACCTAATTAATCATGGAATTTGTAGAATTTAAGCCTAAATATTGAAAAAACTAGGGCTTGTAATTGGAGACCTAAAATTAGGGATTTGAGTGATCATTTGTTTTTGGATTTTGGTGCTTTTGATATGAGTGAACTCGGGAAGTGATAAGGAGTTTATTGATATAATTTTTATCGGATTCCAAGATGTGGGCCCGGGGGTCGGGTTTGGCCAATTTCGGGATTTGTGTTGTAATTTGATTACTTTCGAGTGGGCTTTATTCACTTAGCATATTTTGATGGTTGTGCATTGATTTTTGTTAGACTTGGAGCATCCGGAGGCCAATTCGAGAGGTAAAGGCATCGCTGGCTAGAGTTTGGACCGGATAGAGGTGAGTAATGCTTGTAAATGTTGTCCTCAGAGTATGAAACTCCGGATTTCACATCGTTGTGCTATTTTGAGGTGACACACACGCTAGATGACGAGCGTGTGGTCGTGCACCATTGAGGATTGTGACTTAGTCCATCCCATATGACTGTTTAACTACGTATTTGATTGAAAACTATTTGCTATCATCATGTTTGGGTTGAATGCCATATTTGGGCTTCGTGCCAACTATTTTGGACCCTTAGGGGATTTTTACTACTATTCCTCACTATTTTGACTTCTTAATTGTACTTAGTCATGCTATATTCTAATATTTTCACAATTCAGCCATCTTTACTTGTTTTTGATATTTTAAATGATATTTTGGGTAGAGCATCATATTTTACTGTTGCCCGAGTGGCTTATGAGATTCTGACTGAGTAAGGTCGAGGGCCTGTGTTGTGAGGATACTTTTGGATTGGGCTGCACGCCGCAGCAGTGATATACTGATTCATGATTATGAGGCCGAGGGCCTAATATGTTACGCCACGAGGTGGCTTGTTATATGGCTGAGTGCCTGTTTGATTATGCCACGAGATAGCTTGATATTGCGCTTGGGCCATAAGGGGCCCCTCCCGGAGTCTATACACCCCAGTGAGTACGGGTACCCAGTGTGAGATGTGATATAGCCCAAAGGGCTGATGTTGTTCCATGTTATTGCCCGAGGGGCTAGTTCTATTGGTATTTTGCCCGAGGAGCTGATTTATGTTTCTATCTTTTCTTCCCGTTTTCATTTACTCGTTTGAACTATTAAAAGATGTTTTAAAGAGGTTTTTGCTGAACTAAGGTGTTTTTATAAGTTTTCACTATTTTATTGCATTGTATTGGCTCTATACTGCCTCTTTCTAGCATGTTGCTGTGTTTTACGTATTTTCTTATCGCCCAGCTACCTTTACTTTTATTACTCACTGAGTTGGTGTACTCACATTACTCCCTGCACCCTGTGTGCAGATTCAGGAGCCTCGGGTCCTGCTAGCGAGGGTTGATTGCTTCTAGCAGCCTGTTCGAAGTTCACTAGGTAGCTGCTCGACGTTCGCAGCCCAGTGCTTCTCCTTCCTATCTTTATTTTCATTTGTACTGGATTGTAGTAGACTTTGTAGACTCTTCCTACTCTTAGATGGATGTTTAGATGCTCATAATTGGGGACACCCCGATGCCGGGCTGTGTTTATTTCCGTTTTTGTTCTATTTCACTTTATTTTGGGATTTATCACCTATTAATGACTTAAATTGAATTAATATATCTGTTTGGATGGATTGGGAGTTTGTGTCAGCTGGCCTTGTTTCAAGATATACGCCATCACGATCGGGTCGGGGTTTAGTGTCATGACAACCAGACATGTCAAAATTTGTAAAAACTAAGATTGCATTCCTGAAAAATAATACTTTCTCCGTTTTAATTTATGTGAACCTATTTGACTGGACACATAACTTAAGGAAAAAGAGAAGACTTTTGAACTTGTGCTGTAAAATGAGCACATATATTTTGTGTGGCTATAAATTATTACATAAAGGTAAATTATTTTCTAATATATAAATGGGTCATTCTTTTTAGTATGAACCAAAAAGGAAATAGATTCACATAAATTGAAATAGAGGGAGTAATCAAGACAAGAAATATAGCAACAAATAAAATATTTGTATTTTAATGATTTATGCTGGTTGCAATCTTTAGACAACCTTAAATTAAAAGATGTAGTCCTCTGATTCTTCTTCTCACGATTTTCAACTTCAAGGGCTTGATGTCTTGTTCTTGAATTACAGTTTAAATGTGATGATCCGATAGGTCACTTTGAGTTTTAGCCTTCATTTCTATGTTCCAAGACCTCGAATAGCTCTGTTTAGTCTTCTTCGATTTGCCTGCGCAGTCTTTGTCTTTTTTCAAAAAATTTTTATGTGCAAAATTAAAGAAAATGTGAATTCTATCCTTAAAAACGATTTGAATTAATTACGATCAATATTTTTATGTAAACATACCCAAATCAGTATTTTGACAGTCCCAGTGGATCGTATCGTGATTTCGGACTTGGGCATATGCCTAGAATCGAATTCGAAAGTCCCTAACTTGATTAGTTGAAAACTAGTAATTTGAAGGTTTAAAGAATTCCTAAGTTTGACCGTAGGTTGACTTTGTTGTTACTTGTTACATCTCGCGTTTTTGTTTGTTAAAAGTTTCGTCTTCAATTAATTGACGTAGATTCGGGGATGAGATCATCTTGACGTTAACTTATTTACTCTATTTATAACAAGAGATAAATAAGTGTTATGAAGGATAAAAGGGTACACAAATAAAAGAAAACGAGTTTCGTTGAAAATGACCAATTTGGGATAAAGTATGAGTCGAGCGATACTACCCGATAATTATGGACTAGTACCATACAAGGTACCATATGGTCGTGATAATATGATATATATATAGGTTTTGCTAACATACTATATGAAGGTAGTATTTTAGCACCCTACCCATTTTTTATTTCACATAAATGTCCCTGCCACCTCAATAAGTGCTTAGCCTTTTTAGTCTTTTCACCCAAATTCTCCCAATTCACTTAATCCCCTAAAAATTATATTTTCAAGACCCTCCCGTTAAATCGCGCCATTTACTGTACATAACTAGCGGAAAAAAAGGACCAAGCAACTATTGCTCTTCTATGAAATTCCAAGATTATATCTTAAGTTTTCTCTTCTTCCAACATTGACTAGTGCATAATGGAGGTATGCATATAGTATTTTAATACTTTTCATTTGTTGATCAAATTTTAGGGTTAAAAGCATTTTTTTTTTTACTTTTGAAACAGAGGTGTCCAACGATTAAAGAATATTTAGTTTATATTTGCTTTGTGCCTTTAGATTTTCTTCTTGATTTTTGATTTATAACACGAATTTACAGTTTCAATGAACTGATTCTATAGTTGGATTACTTAGAGTTTTGACAAAATTATTTCTTTTGATGGAATTAAAAAATACAGGTTTTTAACAATACCAATGATTTGACAATAGGAGTTTCAAGAAATCATTGCCCATGTGGTAATATTGGGTGCTTTATTAATGGAGATACAGTTGTAGGAACTACTACAACTTCAAATGAGGAACTTAGAAAAGAGAATGTTATTGATATTAGCGATGGTGATTTACAAATAGTAAAAGTGTTTGATAGTGATGATGAAGCTTACAATTACTATATGAATTTTGCTAAAAGTTTTGATTTTTAAGTTAGACGTGATCGCCATTTAGGAAGTGTAGTACATCCTATGGAAATTTATAAAAAGGATTATGTATGTCATCGAGCTGGTAGCCCTCATCCTCAAAAGGTAGTTGAAAAAGAACGATAAAGAAATCAAAAATCTTCCGGATGTAACTATAAAGCCAAGATGTCCATCGCCAAAGATATATTTGATGGAATCACTCATTGGATAGTGGTGTATTTTGATAATGTTCACAATCATGAACTTTTGAGTGATAAAGAGGTACAATTTCTCTCCGCTTATCAAAATATTGACATTGTTGATCAAACACGAATTACACTTCTTGCTAAAGCTGGTTGTTCCATAAATTTAATCAGAAGAGTGATTGAATTAGAAAAGGGAGTAGATCCAGGCCAATTGCCTTTAACAAAAAAAGATATAAGAAACTTTGTTCAATCAGAAAGTTCTACTAATATTGAAAGTGATGCCCTGGAGCTATTGAAAATATGCAAGAGCTTAAAAGACAAAGATGTTGATTTCCAATATGATTTCACTGTTGATGGATGTCAAAGACTCGAACATGTCATCTGGGCATTCAGAGACTCTATTCGTGCTTATGAAGTTTTTGGAGATGTAGTCGTCTTTGACACTACTTATCGATTGAATCGTTATGAAATGCCGTTAGGAGTTTAGATTGGTGTGGACAATCATGGAAATTCTATTTCTTTTGGTTGTGTTCTCTTGCGCAATGAGAAGGCATCTTCTTTTTCTTGGGCTTTAAAGGTAAAAATTATTATAATATCTAGCTACAAGAATTCTTTTAGCTTTACTGATACTGTATATTTATTTTGCAGAGTTTCGTACGTCTTATGAATGGAAAGCACCCACAGACTATATTAACAGATCAAGATCTTCGCTTAACCGAAGCTATTGCCAATGAATTGCCGCATTTTAAACATGCCTTTTGTATATGGCATATTACATCCAAGTTCTCTACTTGGTTTTCTTTTGTCCTTGGTTCAAGATATTTGCAATTTAAATTTGAATTTCAGAGACTTTATGAACTTGGTAACATCGAAGAATTTGAGCACCAATGGGATGAATTGATCTCTCAGTTTGACCTTGGATCAGATAGGCATATTAAATTGCTATATTTAAATCGTGCATCTTGGGCACTACCATACTTGAAGGGATACCTTTTTGCTAGAATGACGACGACTGGACGCTCAGAATCTATAAATGCATATTTGAAAAGATTTTTACATGCAAGAACAAGTTTAAAAGAATTTGTTGAGTAGGTTGCTACTGCAGTTAGTATAAGAAACCATGATGGTGAAGAGGCAATAATGCGGCAAAAGTATTACAATCCTCAAATTAAGACATTCATGCCGATGGAGAAACATGCATCAAAAGTTCTCATGCCCTTCGCCTTCAAGTTGTTACAAGATGAGATGATACTTTCTATTGAGTATGTTCTATTTCCACATAGTGATGGATCATATCTTGTGCGTCACTACATCAAAATAGATGGTGGGCGTTTTGTCTATTGGAATTCAATAGAAGAGGTTGTTCAATGTTCTTTCCAAGACTTTGAATTTTCAGGAATTTTGTGCAGGCATTCTATTCGAGTACTTAGTGCTCATAACTATTTCATGTTGCCTAATAAATATTTGTTGGCTAGGTGGAGGCAAGAAAATTCATTGGTTCTAAAGATTACTCATATTATGAAATCCAGTAACGATAACGAATTTTAGAGTCTTCATGCTACATTCAGAGATTTGACTCTTGAATCAATAAAGACAAAAGGTCGTCTTGAATATGCTAAGAAGGAATTGCAAAGAGTGCTGCAAATTGTTCAATGTTTTCCTGAAAATGATCATACGGGTGAAGTGCATGAACATGTTTCTTTTAGTCGATCTATAGAGAGCAATTCTCTAGATGAAGATTATCACATTGAAAATCCACAACAATCTCAGACAAAGGGAAGAAAAAAAGGAAAAAGGTTAGTTGGGGGAATTGAGGTTGCAAAGAAACTAAGATATTGCAAGGTTCCTAATTGTGGTGGAATTGGCCACAACTCAAGAAATTGTCCAGTGAAAAGGAAAATTACAGAAATCCCAGCAACTCAATCTCCTAACAAGTAAGTATATGAGTTTCATTATATCCAATCTCTTGTTAAACAAAGATACTCATAATGCATAAAAACTGAAATAAAAAATTTACTTTGGTTGCAGGATTCTAAAAGGATTGACAAAGAAGCTCTAAGGTGATCCAACTGTGAAAAAGTCCTTTTGCTTACAAGAATCAACCATTGCACATCATAGTTTGTTGATCTCAAGTTGAATTGTGTAGAGATAAAAAATACAAGAAATCATTTTCTGTTTATGAACAAGAAATCAGCTGTTGTACATCATATTTTTGAATAGCGACATCTTTTATTTCATGTAAATTTTGTTTTAGATGAGTACAAGAGGAAGGGCTTTAATCAATATGTTTTCATCTCTTACTACTTAATTTAAACAAGGAATCTTTTTGCTCATTAGAACAATATATTGTATACCAGATCAATTATTTGAATAGGAATATTCTTTATTCCATGTAAAAACTGGTTCAGATGTACAAGAGGAGGGGGACTTCAAGCCTAACCTCCAATATTACTTTTGGTATAAGAGAACATCCTCTCTTACAAAATTTCAAGAATAAGCTGCTAGTTTCTAAAGCCAAATTCATGAAGGAGAATCTCCTCATTGTAGAATTTATAAGTGCTATAAATCTAAAATTTCTTGAGCTTCAAAAATATCAAATTTTTCAGCAATCATGCCTCCCAGCTACTATCCATCTTCAATCACATAGAACTGACTTCTATGCTGCAAAAGAAAAGAGTTACACCCATCTAGTTATTTAATCATCCAGTTATGAACATGAAACATCCTAATTCCCAATTGTAAATTGTAGGAAGTAATTAAAAATATAAATAACCCAAGAAAAAATAATGACTTACAATCTAGTGAAATACGCCTCCAACCTTCACACTTCTTACGCTTTTCGTCATCCATAGGAGCTAATAAAATTACACGAACTCTACCAAATAAGACTAACATCGTCCCAAAATGAATTGTAGATGTGAAAAATAAAATCCTAGAATTTAAGGACGGAGGCAAGAAGAAGAAAACAGAACAGATCTGCATCCTGAAGCAGATCTTGAAAATATATTTTTAGGGCATTATTTGAAGCGGTACTGAACTAGAATATTACCTCAAAAAGTGGTAATACAAATTCACACAACTCCAAAACTCGTAATAGTTCTTAGTCTTAGGAAGAGAAAGAAAAAAAAACAGAAGAGAGAGAAGAGAAGGGGCGTGGATGGAGGACGAACTAGATGGGGAAAGAACATGACTTGCTTTAGTGTTTTATCTCTAAGGAAAAAAATACTCTTTTTATTTGTGAGTTGGTTGGGTGAAAAGACTAAAAAAGGCTAAGCACTTATTGAGGTGGCAGANATATATATATATATATATTAAAAATGAGTAGTACTTTTAAGTAATTTGAGATAATTTTTAATTATACGAGTAATTGGTTAATTGCCGGATAACGGGACATTATCCAATTACCTAATAAGTGGATAAAGATTAAATATCTCACTCCCATCCCCATGTTGCAGCTAGCCACATTATCAAGAAATGACTAAGTCATTCATTGATTAGGTGTCACAAAATTACAAAACCTTTTCATTCCCAAGACATTGCATATGAAAGTCATGAATTAAAAAGTGAAAGGAAACGTTAGACTTTTACAATTCTTTTTTTATCGATCTCAGCCCATCACTCCAATTCTTGGTCAAAATTAGAGGTGAGCATAAAATCTGAAAACCGAATTCCGAACCGAACCGAATTAATTCGGTATTTCGGTATAATTCGGTATTAAATTTTCGGTTATTCAGTATTTCGGTACGGTCCTCCGTACTGAGGTTTCGATATTTCGGTATATCGAAATACCGAATTTACCTACAATCCTACACTTGCCCAGCGGCCTAGCCCAAAATTCTAAACGCCTAACCCAATAATACTAAACCCAAGTCCCTTACTCTCTTTTCGTTGTTTCCCAGCCTAACGCACCATTATTTCCCAACCTAACCAAAATATCCAATTGGAATTAGGAATTACCTTGGCGTCTGTTTAGTGCTGCCTCAAAGCAGCTCAACTTGCGAATGGAGATGAAAATCGTTCTGCTAATCAGAACTGAGAACTTGTTCTTCGAAAACTTTCTCCATTGGAGCTATATATATTACTCTTAATTAAGATTTGGTTCACTTTATGACAAGCTTTCTCTGCCCAAGCCCAACTGTTTGCCAGTGCAATGAAACAACTTTTTTCAACTATATGTATATGCGGTTTCCACACTTCTTGTCACGTTAGATAGGAATGGTGCGATACCGAAACCGTACCGAACCTAACAAGAAAATACCGAACCGTACCAAACTACTTTGGTACGGTATTTGGTATGCACAATTAATATATCGAATACCGAAGTATCGAACCGTAATTCATAAATACCGTATCGAATTATCGAATACCCACCCCTAATCAAAACAATTGGCTTTAGCTTGGTGCTATCATATCATCTTCCTTCATCATTTTCTTGATTTTCTTAGGGGCTTTGGATAAATACTACATTTACCCAATTGATAAAAAGGAAACGTTAGACTTTTCAAACTTTACATTCTCAAAGAACACTTGAAGAATCAGATTTTTATGGCTTACGAAACGTGAATTTTACAATTCCTTATGAATAAAAAATGAGGCCAAAGTAACATGGTCATTCCAAGAAGCAAGAACCTTGAAATTTCGTTCAAATGCAAAGAAGCAGAAGCTTCATTTTGTCGTTCAACATATTTCACAGAAGCGGAAGCTTCATTTCGTACAAATAATTCAAGGAACAGGTATGTTAAGGTCATCCCATCTTTCTTTTGGCATGACCCAAATTATACCGAAGAACGAGCAAACACACAGTTTCCATAAATTACTCTATTCATAGAAATATTAGGGGTGCTACATTCTTGATTCCCCATGTGAATTATTACTATCTTCTTTTCATGGGTCTCAGAATAATATGCAGTTAAAAAAGTTTATTCGGAAGGAATATTGAGATTTATTACGTATTTTTCACGCATTTCACCCATTTATATATGTGCATTGACCCATGACCAGATGGCGTTATATATGCATATATATGTAAATATATGTATATGGGATATGGGAAAAGGTTATGACGTTATATACGCACCACCACAAATCAGCTGGTATATGTTGATGATGTTGCCCACAGTGGCCGAGACGATATGATAGGGTGCCCTCAGTGGCTTGATGATATTATGTACACCCATACCTATGCATGGCATGGCATTTATATGCACGTACATGACATTATAAATGTTTCAAAAATTACAAAGTTATTCAGATTTAAAAATTTGTTTCTTTATTCCATGTTTCATCTATGTCTTTTACGTACAAATTTTCATGTCTTACATACTTAGTGCATTTTTTATACTGATGCCCTATTTTACGGGGCCTGCGGTTCATGCCCACAGGTGCAGGTAGACAAGCTGACGGTCCCCCTTCTTAGGATCCTTGATCAGCGAGAGTTGGCGTGCTTCACTTGATGCAGAGCTGTTTTTTATTTTGGTACGATATGTTTATATATATATATATATATGACGTGGCTCAGTCCCGTCTTTGTATAATTATATTTCTATTAGAGGTCTGTAGACAGTATGCCTAGTTGGGTTTTATGTGGCCTTGTCGGTTTTCAATTTTGGATGTATAGTTGTCTATAGCAGCCTTGCCAGCTCGCCCATTATAATCTGCATGTATACGTACATATGCCTTGATGGCAGGTTTTCTTCATGTAATTTATTTTCGTAATGCAGCAGATGTTATTCAGGTTCATATCTTAGACGCATGCTTAGGGGTGTTTGACAGGTAGGATTCAAGCACCCGCCGTGGCCCATCGGTTTGGGTCGTGACAAAAGTGGTATCAGAGCAATTCTGTCCTAGGGTTGTCTACAGACCGTATCTAGTAGAGTCTTGTTTATGGGTGTGTCGTGCACCACACTTATAGACATGAGGATACACGACATATAGGATGCTATCCTCTTTTTTTATCTCAGATTGTGCGATACAAGAATTCATGTTCCTAACAATATGGTATATTTTCAGCAATGCTTCCAAATTGTACGGCCGCCCAGAAGGGAAAGTCCGTAGCTGGTGAGACTACTAGTCGAGCGTCACAAGTTACCAGGGCTCGGGGAGAGTCTCATGGTGAGGTTCTATCTTAGACTTCACATACCCCACCCTTTCTAGAAGAGCTCCGAGGGGCACCAGCTCCAGCGCTCACCATTGTACATTCAGCACCTCAGCCGGATGCACCGGTTCAGCTATTAATCCAATTAGTAGCCGCGCAGGCTCGGCGTCAGGAAATAGGTATTAGTCATGCAGATAGGTCCATCAGTGCGAGGGTTCGTGACTTTATTAATTTAGACCCTCCAGTATTCACTGAGGTAGATCCGAATGAGGACCCTCAGGTATTTATTGATAGGGTGCAGAGGACGTTAAGGGTAATGAAGGCCACTGCGACTGAGTCAGTGGAGCTAGCTTCCTATAGACTCCGAGATGTTGTAGTTAATTGGTACGAGTCTTGGGAATTTTCTAGAGGTGAGGATGCCCCTCCAACAGTATGGCAGGAGTTTACAGAAGCTTTTCTTCGTCATTATCTGCCACCAGAGCTTATAAGAGCCAGAGTTGATAGGTTCTTGACCCTTCGACAGGGTAACATGAGTGTTCGGGAGTACAATCTTCAATTTGATTTATTGGCTAGGTATGCTCCCACTATTGTATCTAAGATGGAGGACCGGGTTCACCGGTTCGTGATGGTATTAGAACCTCACTTGCTTAACAATTGTATGTTAGTTTCACTTCAGCCAGACATGGATATTTCTCGTATTCAAGCATACGCTCAGGGTGTAGAGGAGTGTAAACAGAAACATAGGACCGGTCGTGAGCATGATAGGGCCCAGAATAAGAGAGCGAGGCCTTTGGGTTCTTCTGGTAAGTTTCAAGGTGGTGAGAGGCAGCAGTACTCGAGGTATCCATCCCAGCCCTCGGCTAGCGCGCCCCCTCAGTTTGGCGGTAAGAGATTTGATCGTTCTATATATTCAGGGTCTAGTCAGAATTTTAGGGCCTCAGGTTCTCAATATAGGGGTGAGTCAAATCAGATGAGGCCACCCTTTCCACAATGTGCTCAATGTGGTAAGCAGCAAACCGGGCAGTGTCGTATGGGGTTAGGTGCTTGTTATACTTGTGGTTATCCGGGCCACGTTATGAGGGATTGTTCGATGAGAGGTGATGCAAGCATAGCTCAGCCGTTGGGATCTGTAGCTGGTTCGTCATCATTAGTATACCCCCTGGGCAAGGTCTCCAAGCACCAATGAGTCGTGGTAGAGGAAGAGGCGGAGCATCTAGCTCGAGAAGCCCTCAGAACTGCATTTATGCGTTGGCAGGACGTCATGACCAAGAGTCATCGCCTGATGTTGTTACAGATATATTATCAGTCTCCTCATATGATGTATATGCACTGATTGACCCAGGTTCCACCTTATCATACGTTACTCCGTTAGTTGCTAGTAAGTTTGGAATAAAACCTGAATTGGTTAAACCTTTTGAGGTATCTACACCTGTTGGGGACTCAGTGATAGCTAAGCGAGTATATAGGGAATGTTTAATAGTAGTTCATGGTCAATCTACCGTTGCAGATCTAATCGAGTTAGATATGGTAGAATTTGATGTTATAGTGGGTATGGATTGGTTGGGTTCTTGTCATGCCAACGTTGATTGTAGAGCAAAGATAGTCCGATTTCAATTTCCAAGGGAGCCTATTTTTTGAGTGGAAAGGTAATACGGCGTTGCCGAGAGAAAAATTTATTTCCTACCTCAAGGCAAGGAAGATGATCAGAAACGGCTGTATTTATCACTTAGTTCGGGTTCAAGATATAGAAGTGAAGTCACCAACCATTCAGTCCATCCCAGTGGTTCATGAGTTTCCCGATGTTTTTCCCAATGAACTTCCGGGTCTTCCGCCAGAGCGAGAAATTGAGTTTGCCATTGACCTACTACCAGATACTCATCCAATATCTATTCCCCCTATAGAATGGCCCCCGCATAGCTGAAAGAGTTAAAGGAACAACTAAGGGACTTGCTTGAAAAATGTTTTATCAGACCTAGTACGTCACCGTGGGGAGCACCTGTGTAGTTTGTGAGAAAAAAGATGGTTCTTTATGTGTATTGATTATAGGCTACTGAATAAAGTGACGATCAAGAATAAGTACCCGCTCCCGAGAATTAATGATTTATTTGATCAGTTACAAGGTGCCAAGTATT